AGCCGACGTCCAATCTCGCGATTGGATATCTTCTCGTGCTTCCAGGCCAAAATTTGGCCCATTTCGATGCCTGTGAGCTTGGGACCCCTTGGCATGATACGCAGTTGACCAATTTTGTCATGATTAGCGCCACAATGTTGCCTACTCATTGGCCAAATCCCCACACCATTTTCCATTTTGAATGCGACTTTTAACATTTAGAAATTTTAAAGCGCAGTGCGCATACAAATATGCCCGATGCCTCAGACTGGGTCAATTCAACCATACTCCTATATGTTGGCAAATTCAAGCTCACCGGCTGTATTGTACTGAAGCAATTTAACTTGAAGATATACCCTTCATGGGAAACAATCTCCGAAGTCTTGGTGTATTTTTTATCTGACATTAATCGCGATTTACTGACGATTTCAATGTGCACATATAATTATTTCGCGCACTGTATCACGGAGAAGGATTGGCGTGATTATTTCCTGTCTGCACGAGAGACACAATCCCGCCAAGACAGTGTGGCGAAAAGGCTCGGTGATTTGTGTCGAAGAGACGTGACGGCGTTGCAACGGTGAAGGCGCCGTCGACGACCTAGGTAGCGTCCTCGCGTGGAAACGGCTGCCTGAAGTGTGGCAGCGATAATCACCGGGTATTCAAGTGCCCAAGGTGCAGCCAGGTGAAGTGCAGCTTTTGTTGGACCAGCGTTTCAAGATACCTCACGGGGCTGCGTCCGCAGCGTCGGAGAAGAGGGACGAAACCAAGCGCAAGATTATTGGCGCTGCCGTGGATATCCAGGATGCGTTGGTTATTGACTGTCCACGCACGGTGGCGTATGATGTCAATGGCGTGACGGCGTTGGCGCTCTTGGACAGCGGCGCCAATCATTCGGTAGTGTGGCCAACGTTCCTGGTGCGTGTCAAAAGTGTCGGTAACTTTGCGTTGGTGATGCGCCAACTGGACCGACCGATCGAGTTGGGCGAGTTCATAGAAGCTATGAAGCTTACAGTGGATCACGACGTCAAGCTGCGGCTGACGTTCGACACTGCCGAAGGGACGTTAGTGTTAGCGAACCTGAAGTGCTGGCACTGCAAGACGCCTGGGCGAAGTTGTCGTGAGTCGCGACGTGAAGGCGCGACTGGGATACTGCTTCCATTTGTTACTGGCGCGAGCGCAGAGTGTGTTCGACCTCAATCAGCTGGGCGGCAAGGAGACTCCGCTGATTGCAGCCACGAAGGTGGTCAAGACGATGGACAAGACTAAATCGTCTCCTGACGAAGCTTTGCTTTACCCTGAAGAAGAGCGAGCATGTTTTCCAGATGTGCAATCTGGATAGTCGATGGAAATCGACCGACGTGCGGTGAGGACTACGTTCGAGAATAAGGTGAGCGATTGCAAGGACATCGATTGCGGCGACGAGTACGCGACACATCTGCTGGAGCTGTTGATGCGTTATAAAGTCGTGTTTCGACTGACTCTGGGCCGAGATCCACCGGTGGACGTGGCGCAACTGGTCGTGACGTTGAAGCAAGACGCGGAACCTGTGCGGTGCAAGGCATGTCGCTACTCAATAGAGCAGCGTGGTTTCATGGCGAAGCACGTTGCTGAGTTGGGCTGCCGGGCTTTGTTTTCGAAACCCCCGTTCGAAGTGGTGTTCGGCACCGTTGTTGGAACGACATTCACATGACTGTGGATATCCGTTTGGTAACGCACAGACGGAGCGCAATATGTGGCTGATGCCGATGTTAGAGGTGATATTGGATCACTTGGCAGGCGCGGAAGTGTTATATATACCCTCGACTTCTTGAAGGGTTACTGGCAGTTTGCGCTGGACAAGACGTCGCAAGAGATGTTCTCGTTCCTCACGGATACGGGCGTTTACGCGCTGACGCGAGTATTGATGAGCGGTACCGACAGCGTGGCTTACTGCCAATCGTCGGTACAAGAAATGGCATGATATGGCTGGACGATTTGCTTGGATACGATCGCGGTCTCAAGCTGAATCCCAAGAAGTGTCGGTTGTACGAGACCGAAACGCACTGGTGTGGACGAATTGTGTCGTTCGATGGCGTCAAGCATAACCGAGAACGCATCAACGCGTTGCAAGAACTGAAGAGGCCGGTGATTGGCCAAGACCTTAGCAGGTTCTATGCGCCATGAATTGGATGCGCATGTCGATCCCAAGGTACAATGTGATTGTACACCCGATTACCGATCTGTTGGAGTCGGTCTACATGGCGGCGGCGGTCGAACGCGCCAGAATGTGGACAAGGTCCTCCTCGCTAAGGTGGGGTGGAACGCTGACCACGCAGCGTGCTTGCGACAGTGCAAGGAAGCGCTCAGCCAGGTGGTGACCCTAGCGTAACCGAAGCAGGATCGGCTGATTTGTGTGTTTGCCGACGCCAGCGATTTGCATTGGGGTGGCGTCGTGACTCAAATCCCTCGCGACCAGGTGGATCGCAAACTGGACAGTCAAGACCATGAGCCGCTGATGTTTCTGAGTGGTACGCTTTCTGGCGCCGCTCAGCGATGGGCCATTGTCGAGAAGGAGGCGTTCTCGATCGTGGAGTGTTTGAAGCGGGCAGACTATGTTCTGCGCAAGCCCGGTGGATTTGCGTTGTTCACCGATCAAGCAAACCTCAAGTTCATTTTCCACCCGGCGTCCGTGAACGTCGCGATTCCCAAGTATACGGCAGCGAAGCTGGATCGCTGGGCGTTGCTTTTCATGGGGTACGATTAAACCATCTACGACATTTCGCCGTTGTGAAGTAAAGACTTTGTCTGGCCAACGATGGCAGAAGTGGTGGACAAACAAGTCCAAGCCATCGGTGGAGGTAATTTTCCCGCGGCAGAGTGGGCCCGGAAGCTAGTGGAAATTGGTGGCGGGAAAGTGCCATTATTAAAGACGTCGACAGGTGCGGTGTGGATCCCGACCGCTGCTAGCGGACTGCAAGTGAGACTGTGCATGGTGGCGCAAATTAGTGCTGGGAGACACCGTGGTATTTCCGCGACGAAAGTAGTCCTGGGCGAGCGTTTTTGGTGATCTGTAAGGTGTCGGACGTCGCGTATTGTGTGGATCGGTGTTTGCATTGCGCCAGTACCGGTGGTCATGTTTTGAGATCGTATGGTGCAACGGTCCACGTGACGAAGTCGAAAGAGATCCTGCACTAGAATTTCTTTTTCATGGACGGTGGCTACATCCTCGTAGCTAAGGACGACTTCAGCCAGTTGAAGTGGCTTAAGAAACGATCGTTGCCAGCGCTCAAGTGGTTGTGTGTTTGGCGTGTGCAATCATTGGGTGAGTGATCAAGGCTCACACCTCAAGAACGAGGTGATTGCCGAGCTCCAGCACCTGCAAGTAGCTCATCATCATTTCACAACCGCCAGATGTCCGTGGGAAACGGAACGGTGGAAAGTTCGATGAAAATGACCCTCAAGACGTTCCGAGCCTTGTTATCGGAATGGTTGATGCAGCCCGACCAATGATGGCAGATTCTGCCGGTGATGATACTGGTGCTAAACGAGAACCCCTCGGAGACTCTCGGTGGAACGGCTCCGATCACGGTCATGACGGGTCGACCAGCGATGTCGCCCTGGGTCGCATTGTCCTCCCCGGTCCGACGAAGACAACGACCTTGGAAGAGCTGAGGTCGTTGCTTCAAGCTCAAGTCGTCAGTACTCTCGCTGGACAGTATGCACGAGAAGATTGTGGAGGCGTTGTCGAAGAAGCGCTTTAAGAATCGCGAAAGAAGGCTAAAAAGCAATGCGCCGAAATGACACAATTCGACGTGGGTGATTTTGCTTTGTACATGGACCTGTGATCCACGACTCACTCCAAGTTTAGCGTCACTGGGCGACGACCAGCTCAAGCTTTCAAGACAATTTAGGATTGGATTTTTGAAAGCCAAAATTTGGTCACGGGCATGGTCCGTGAAGCCCACAGCAGTAGGCTCAAGTTTCATGCCGACGATCCTCTCGAGGTGACTGAAGAGTTGTTGCTCCATATCGCACACAATGCAGATGGACTCGTGGTCGACAAGTTCATCGACTGCCACTACAACGACCGTCTAGGCGTCTACGAAGTGCTTGTGAGCCGGCGCGGCCTACAGGGTATGAATAATTCGTGGGAGCCCGCGAGCAACTTGCTGGAAGATCTCCCACCGCATTCATGAAGTATGTGCGGGTAAACGTTCAGGATCACGGTGGTCGCGATGGCGAAGGCGTTGGGGATGCAACCGTTGATGGGGAGGTATTTCGAATTTCCATTCGCAGTACCCCTGGACCCCCCCAAGATGCAGCCCAAGGGTTTAGTCCCTTGGTTGGTATGCCGGAAGATCCTTCGGGCTAATTGAGTGTCTGTGAGCAGATGTCTGACTAGGGTAGGGTCAAGCTCCAGCGGTAAGCCGCCGCTGGGGGAATCTACTTCGTGGTTTGCCTTTGAAATCGGAGTTCGCGAGGTCCGCAGGTGGAAACACAACCGTCGTCGAAAGGGTTGCATTTCTTGATATAACCATCTTATAGTCAAATCGATTCGAATTTGGAGTTCCCAGGCGAATCGAATCGACTTGGCAAATCGAATTGAGAGTTGCCTTATCCAATCAAAACACATTATTTCATGTTCCTTCAACTGCTGCACTGTCTATTACGGCGATGGTGCTCACACAAAGCACCCCACCGAGTCACCGATACAACACGGTCTTCCCAGTCACCACCAGTTTCGACAGAGCAACCAACCACGAATCTGTACCGAATGCGAGCCAACGTTGTCGTCAAAGAGACCGTCTATGGTCGAGACCACAATGGAAAAAAGAAGCGACTCCAGCCGTGTTCGAGGGAGCGTCTTGGGAGCGATCCAGGAACGGATTTTCTTGTTTGCACGTCCGAACATTGTGTCATTGGCAAGTCATGAGTCCGACCCACGGGGCTAGTCTGTGTCCCGCGACGAGCCTACTCTCAACACTTAGACATGTTCATCATCAGTTTTGTATGGTATAGTTATTTTAGTATTTTTGGAGGCAAGTCGATTCAGCAAATCGACTCAGAAGTCCAAATTTCACTGAAAAAGGCAATACCAACGATTAAATTCTTAACTACACCATTGCCCGTTCAATGTGGCCAAACCAGCAATCAATGTGGTTTCGAAGTTTTAATTTCTTCGAACGTCGAAGTACACCTGGAATCTATTTCAATCAAAGTGGTTTAATGGCCACCTGTAAATTGTAATTCGATCAAAACATGTATTGATAAAGGTTTGCTTTTGGCGGGCATCCGCAACCACGAATCTAGTCAGGGGCACAAGGAACGAGTGATTGCCAATACTTCACGTCGAGTGACGGAGAAGGAAAAAGAAGAACGACAGGAAGCGGAGGCCCAAAAGGAGCTCGAAGAAGTCGAACGTGTACGTTCGCTTGCAGGTTCATATCAACTCATGACTTTGTAGAATGCCCGAGCGAAGTTCGCCATGGACATGCGTGGTCGATCCATTGCTGTGGTTTCCGACAGATTCGACATCCCAATTGGAGCAGGACCTGTGTTGCCACCTCCACATGCAGAAGACGATGGCGAAGTCCCGCCACCGCCTCCTCCTCGTCACCAGCTATACCTCGCCGGCGAGCCAGCCAACACTGACAAAATTGAAAAGTCCAAAGGGTTTTACACCGCTGTTTCCTGCACAAGGTGCAGCAGATCGTGTCCGGGTCGAAGCCGGCTGTCTTCGTAAAGCCCGCCGGCCAGACTATGGCGGGTGGTCCACAGTCAGCGTGCGTGTTGTGGACGACGAAACCGAGCAAGCGACGATCCAGGCGGAAGCCGCGGCATTTGAAGCCAAGAAGACGCAAATCCAAATCGAACGCGACAACGACTTTCTCATGGACGAGTCGTTACATGCCGACAATGCGATGGGTGCGTTCAATCGTGGGGCGGGCGGTACAAGGGCATTGCGCTCGACGGCGCGGGCCCGCCCCGAGAGGACTCGAAGAAAGACATGGCCGTGGCCCCTGTAGCCTTTCAGATCAAGAAGGGGGGTCGGAAACTCCAAGGCAAGTACGTCGATGTGTCGCTGAGCCGTGCTACGACTTGGCAGCTCGACTCGTTCACGACGTCCAAGTGGATGCAACTGGTCAGGACTCCCTGGTTGACGTGTCCTTGAGTAGGTCGTCTAATGTCGTTCGATAAAAATATGTATTGACAAAGTTTATTCTCCATAGTGCGTGTTCTCCAGGCGACTGGCTGCGTGGACAGACACAAGACAGTGCAAAGACATCTTTGTCGTCAAGACGGCGGTCAAGCAAGACAATGATTCAACAGCGGCACGTTCTAAGAGGTCCATTCGCGCCGTCAAGGTAGCGTGTACACCAGAGGTATGAATTTCCGAACGTCTTGAGGGGAGAAAGTGCTTGCTCTTAGCCTTCAGCACGCTGAAGCAACCGTCAATAGGATTGCACATCGGCAAGTACGGTCCAAGGCGTAGCAAGACGCAGTCATCGTGCCCAGGCATGCGGGTCTCAGTTTGGCTGTGGGCGGGTGCGTTGTCAAGGACTACGACCTTGCCGCGGAATTCGGCTTGGAACGATGGCAGAGACTTGACGGCAAGGTAGATGGCTTCTGCAAATTCTGCGTTCTCTTCCATCCGAATG